GGGGAGTAAAGCGCGTCCGGCGCGTAAGGGTGACAACCTTACCGCCGTCTCTGAGCCGATTGTCTAGCTGCTAAGAAGGGAACACACATCACAACACACGGTTTACACAGAATATAAGAAAAACGACCCCCACAGTGGAAGAACCACATACAAGTTTTAATTATGACACATAAGATGAATAATCTTAACAAGTTTTAGTGTGTGTAAATTTATTATAGTTGACAAATACGCACTTTTTAAATACTTTTTAAATAATTTTATAAAGGCAAGCAATGAAATAGATTAGCGTAATTAGGGCACCTGATGATGGCACTATGTTGGCGAAACATGTCGTGAAGTAACAGGTGAGACTGAGTGCACTACAAGACGGCAACTGTATACATATCATGGATGAATACGGTGAGTATTTGACAAAAATAAGAAAAAAAGATAGCGAAAAATGAATTGTTAAAAATGGATTGAGTACCTTTTCTTTCACATCCTTCAAGAGCCGTAATCAACACGTGTTACTAATCAGATAACAGACCATCTGAAAAGTCTTTCTGAAGTCTTAAGATATTACCTTAAGAATAACAACCGATAAGCAGATAATAACTCTTTTTTCTGAGTGCTGCGGGCTCAGATACGAAAATTATCCTCTGATAGAGATACTTCACACTAAGCCACATCTCCTGACAGTCCTTTTGTCTGTCTATGAAAATCTCACTCAAATTTCAGCTTTCATCCCATTTTCATCACATTTTACATCGAAGACTTCATGTAAAAGAAAACTCGTAATTGTAGGCCGATACAATGAAATTCTTTGCGTGACTGATTACTGAAGGATTAGTCACGTCCGAATGACATAGAGCCAGACAGAAATCCTAAGACGGAATTAACGGGGTTGTAGGCCTTGTTCATCGTCCGGTATTATAGAAACTAGAAAACACAACGTTCCGGAAACTTGATCTGTTTCCTTCCTCAGGTGAGGGGGGAGATACATCAACTCTGCTGGGTTCCTCAGAAAAAAGCTAACCTCAATCACTGGAAAACCCCTGTCAGAGTCACTGCAACTATTCAATTACCTGAAACCAAGCTAATTCGGAGAGATATAACAGGAAAATATGCAATAAAAATTATGACAAATCACGCACATTGGTGGAACTAGAATAGAAAAATTCTTAACACTAACAGAATATAGACTTGGTGTTATCGAGTAGCTAATGCTGTTACTTTACTCCGTGGCCTGTAGTCAGCAAGCGAACTATACCGACCGAGAGACCGCCCCTTGTCGGTGAAGTTAGTGCCAACTTTAGAGGGTAGAGGGTGTCGCGTGGTCAGCGAAAGGAATCCATATGATAGTTAATTTCGGTTTTCTAGACCGGAGCCGCTAATTTCCTTGAAACATTTCAATTATCCTCACGAGGCTGAGTGGACCCCGTTCCAGACACACTACATCTCAGAGAATCTGGTAGCGTAGGGAAACGAACCCGGCACCTCTGGATCTGTAGCCAGGAAGCCTGACCACTAGACCACAGAGGCGATCCGCTTTTACATTACTACAACAGCGAATAAATTACACTTATCAATAAATAACTACATAGAAATTCTAATAAGTGTTTCGCAAAAAGAAGATGGAAAATCGTAATATAGGTTTATTTTTCGAATTCGGAACATTTTATTTACGTTGAGATTGAGCTTCTCGCAGCTGTGACTATGAAAAGTGTTATTCTGGGATCCGATTTTATGATGCGGTGTAATCCGGCCGGAGTTAAGCGTGGTTTCGGAGGAGTCCACTGCTTTCACGCACTCAGCAAGCAGAGATTCCTCTGCAGTAGAAAATACCTAGTTTTCTGACTTCTATTTGCGTCTTGCTCGTTTAGTATCTTTTTGCCACGAAGAATATAAACGTACTTTGAGACACTGAGAGTTTTTTAGACAAACAATTAAATAAACATACAATATAATAATATGCAGGAGATCAAGCTCAGGTAAAACGAATTTGAAAGCAAATATATTCCTGCGCAGCACACTGTTGCACTTCCAGATATCTGTGCCCTATAGAGATCAATGCATATAACAAGGAACAGACGATGTCCTTCACTGAAAGTCAGTATTAACACACTGTCACTGTACATGTCACCACGTTCATACTGAAACTTGCTTGGTGCTACTGAATTGTGAGCTTACTCCTTCTGCATAATAAATATTTTTCTGTATACGGATTTTTCTAAGATCCCTGTTAGCGTAGTCGGTATAGCGACTGGTTACAGGCTGGACGACTGAGGGGTCGGTCCCAGTAGGGTAAAAAATTTTTCTTTCTCCACGTCTTCCACACCGGTTCAGGGGTTCACCCAACCTCCTATCCAATGAGTACCGGGATTCTTTCACGGAGGTAAAGCGGCCGGGGCGAGAAGCTGACCATTCACCTCTAGCTAGTGCAGAGGTCAAGAAAATGTGGATCTATACATCCACTCTCCCATACGCCTTCATGGCGTAGTGCTTACTTAAGCACAGGGAAAATTTTACCTTTAACTTATCTTCCGTTCTAGAAAAAAACGCAATTAACGGGTTTGGGGATTCGTTGAGCTTACCACGCGACACCGTCTATCCGCAAAAGTTGGCACTAACTTTGCCGACAAACGGCAGTGGGTCGGTCGGCATAGTTCGCTTGCGGACTAAAACCACGTAGTTTTCAGTTTTATGAGAAGAATTTCAACATAGTCATCACTACAGTGATGTATGACGGTAGGCCTTTGAAAAGCGGTTGATGCTACAGGTGTGTTTAAGGAAATATAATGGAAACCAACACAGAGGCTGCATGAATTGTTTTCAAGTTAGGGTGACAACTGACATCGTCATAGCGTGAAACCTACATGGTGATATGCAACAAAGAAAGTTAATGTTTATATAAATTAATTCAAAGACCTATACTATGTAACCCTTTAGAATATTAAAATGCGCTATGATAATTCATTTCAATACACATTTTATTATTAGTTATTAGAGAGGGTGGGTTTCCCCATGCACATAGACCTGTAGTGGTCCATTGTGCTTCCCTCTATGATTTCTACCAGCCTCTATATCCTACCGGTATTGGTGCTTACCATCAGTCCCACCCAGCCAGGGACACCGGCTCTACTCGCTGAGAGGTATCTATAATGCTTCCCCCATCTACCGGAGGTATTAGTGACTGCTGTTGGGCGGGAAACGTCCGCAATTTTGCTCAGTGACCTCCTTTGGAGGTATGAGATTCTTTTACGTGCCGTAAAGCTACGACACGGGACCCACGGCTTAAAGTCCCTCCCGGAGGACTTGTTCCCTGAATTTTTCCGCCCTTAAAAATTCGACGACCTCCGCCGGGTATTTGAACCCGCGTACTACGAGTCGTGAGGTGGGAACGTTACTTCTAGACTACGGAGGCCGCTACATTTTACTATTATTTTACATATCGCTCTCTCCAAATTCTCATATACCTGCCACAGAATTACTTTGTTATGATGGTCATGCTTCTACCTAAATCCCCATACATTCGTAAAGTTTGTATATGCTACTGGGCAATAAAACAAGCGCTGTATTGACATCCATGTTACGTCCTTCACACTTGTGTCTCTAAGTGACTGGCTTCTTCCCAAGAAGAACTCCGCTCCACGGAGTTAGTTCGTTGGCTATCTAGCTAGTTGGTTGGTTATTTCATTGAATCGGCAGTTGTTTACTTACTTACTTAGCTAATTACCTAGCTAACTAGCTAGTTGCCTGTCTCCGTAGCCGAGCGGTCTAAAGCATGTACTGTCTTCATTCGCTTGGAAACCTGGATCGTGGGTTCGAATCCCACTCAGGGCATGGATGTTTAGTTTGTGTGTGCGCGTTTTTCTGTGTTTGTGTATAGGTAGAGGCCTTGCGACGAGCTGATCACCCGCCCAAAGAGTCCTACGGAACGTGTAAGATCTAGAAAAACTGAAGTGAACGGAGAAGTTCATGGAAGTAGGCCTAGGCCCACTGGGGCTGTAGTGCCAATGAAAAAAAAAAAATAGCTCGTTACGTTGATTAATTGGGTTGCTTGGTTCATTCGTTCGTTTGTTAGTTCGTAGTTTCGGTGGCTAATTGATTTTTTTTATTTGGTTGGTTCGTTGGTTGGTTGGCTACAAGCGTGACTTACAATCTTCCTGCGTTCAAGTTTAGCGAATTGTTACACTTTTAACTCGCACACGATCCCACAAATCAACTGCTTAATCCCGTCTAAAAGACGGACCAGGATAAAAAGTTTGGTTCTCAAATATGAAGACCATTCGACAAAATCGGCGCTGCTGAGAAGACTACACCAATAAATAAGTGAACGGAAGAATGAGAGTGAGGTCAGTGCTGAAATAAGCAAGTAATATGAGGGATTAGATTTACAACCTGCTAATATTATTGTGGCCGGTCACGGTAGCCGAGCGGTCTAAGGCATGCACTGTCTTCGCTCGCTCGGAAACCGGGATCGTGGGTTCCAATCCCACTCAGGGCATTGATGTTAATTTTGTTTATGTGCGTTTTTCTGTGTTTGTGTACAGGTAGAGGCCTTGCGACGAGCTGTTCACTCGCCCAAGGAGTCCTACCGTATGTGTAAGATCTAGAAAAATCGAAGTGAACGGAGAAGTTCATGGAGGTAGGCCTAGGCCCACTGGGGCTGTAGTGCCAAGAAAAAAAAAATATTATTGTGAAATGTAACTTGGAATAAGAGACTCCAACTAAAGTACAAAGGTGTGATGATAATATGATAATAATAACACAATATGATCTTATTAAATTCCTTCCCGCCTCCTTATCACACAACGACAAAAATTATAAAGTTTAAAGCAGTAATCAGCTCATGTTCCAAGTGGTATTTACTTATGTCTGGAAAAAAAAAATTCTTTCTTATCTTCTCAAAACTGTTAGTCCATCAGCCGATCATAAAACATAATCACACCTGTTAAGGATTATCCGTATTTATAATTTATGGGACATATCAATCTATTCGTGGAATTATTCATACACAACCCACAAGGATCGCTACATATAAAAGGCAGCCAGTAACCACAGCCTTCACACTTGCGAGTGGAGAGCAACAGAGAGGCATCACAAGGTAGGACTCGCTTTCCATTTACTACTAACAGAACAGAAGTACTATTTTGCAGAAACTTAATTCATAAGAAATACCATGTACATTATGGGATAGAATTCAAAGCACAGTTTGGAAATTTAATTGTTCACTTCTTCGAGAGCTTTTGTCTCTTTATCTGTCCCTAAACTTTGTTATGAAAGGTAAAGTCCCTGTGCTTAACTAGTTAAGCACTACGCCATGAAGACGTATGGGGGAGTGGATGTATATATTCACATTTTATTGAGCTCGGAACTAGTTGGAGTTGAGTGGTCAGCTTAACGCCCCGGCCAAAAAAAACCCCGGGGAACGGGCCTCCAGTTCACATTGGATAGGATGTTGGGTAGACCTCAGAGCCTGTCTGGACGACGTGGAGAAGAGAAAATTCTTCACCACACCGGGACTCGAACTCCGACCAATCGGTCGTTCAGCCAGTAGCCAATCACTAAACCGACTGCGCTAGCTAATAAAATTTAAGTCGGTATTTTTCGTTTCTCATTCCATTGCATTTCTTCTCAGAATTACTGGGGTTTAAAACTTTTCCCATCGTCCGGTATACTGAAAAATAGAGAACACAACGTTTCGGAAACTGAATCTGTTTCCGTCTTCAGGTGAGGGGAGAGACGCCTACTCTGTTGGGTCCCTTAGAAAGGGCTGACCTCAATCACTGGACAACCCATATCAGATTCAATATAGCTATTTAAAAACCTGAGACAAGACTACGTCGAAGGGAGACAACAGGAAAATATGAAATAATAGTGATTAAGCACACACATTCATGGAAACAGGATATAAAGAGAGGTGGAAATTTATACTACACACCTAACCAAGAAACCAAGTCCATGGACACCAATGTACAGAACTGAATGGGGAATTTGTGGAAAAATATACTCCATTTCTACGTTTGCCAGTCAGTCAGGAGGATATCTGTCTCAAAGTACAAGACAAATAATGAATTAGAAACGACAAGAGTTTGTACTTTACTAGCTATTTAAATACAGAGGCTGTCCAGCTGACTGTTCTTCTACGAGATCAAGCATTTGTGAGATTGCATCCAAACCAATGGGATGCTTAATTTCGGTTCGACCTGTAAATCGAGTTCAAGGGAACTTTCAACAGTACAAGTATCAAATTTATGAAACATCGAAAGTCAATGCCATTTTTGGTCTATAAAATCTAGATTGCTAAGGAGAAATGCAGAAAAATGAGTATAAAGGTGCACTGCTTACAGCTTAATGGGAGAGTGCAATTCTAGAAATTTACTCAGCAGAAATAGGCTAAAATAAAAGATATACAATTAACGGTTGCATTTTCAAACCAAGGGGACAATGAATCACTTCCTTATAATATAAATGGCAAACAATATGAGTAAGATTAAAAGTTCTGTCTTATTTCTTTCACTGGTCGCAAACTTCGATATTAGTATATAGAATATGGCAACTTTCTCACTAAACAACTAATGCAACTAAAAAATTAAGCGGAACATAGCATAGTATTACAGTGAATTATTCCATTTTAAAACAGTTATTTGATCATACAACATTCAACGTCAGTTCATAAAATACACAGCTAAATATTCATTACTTCTGCAGGGTTCAAATATGTTGTCTTTCCTACGCAGGCAGACCTAATTCAGGTGGCACTGAACCTACGAGAAAATGAAGAGGCAAGCGATAATTATCGCGGCCGTGGCCCTATTTCTGGGGGCAGAGGCTGGACTTATCAAACCATCTCCAGGAACAGCGGCTGAACATATCAAACCTCAGCCTGCACCAGACGCTGAACTTACGAAACCGATACCAGAAGCAGACAACGAACTTCTGAAACCGGCTCCGGGAACAGGCGGTTCCCTCACAAGACCGGCTCTCGGAACAGACGGTTCTCTCACAAGACCGGCTCCTGGATCAGAAGAACGCAATGAACTAATCAAACCGGCTCCGGGAGGTGAGAATGAACTAATCAAACCGGCTCCGGGAGGTGAGAGTGAACTAATCAAACCGGCTCCGGGAGGTGAGAGTGAACTAATCAAACCGGCTCCGGGAGGTGAGAGTGAACTAATCAAACCGGCTCCGGGAGAAGACAATGAACTCATCAAACCCCTTCCTGGCACCGGCGGAGAATTGATCAAACCCCTTCCTGGCACGGACGAAGAACTCATCAAGCCCCTTCCTGGTACAGATGAAGAACTCATCAAGCCCCTTCCTGGTACCGGCGGTGAACTCATCAAACCCCTTCCTGGCACCGGCGGAGAACTTATCAAACCCCTTCCCGGCACCGGAGGGGAACTCATCAAACCCCTTCCTGGCACCGGCGGAGAACTAATCAAACCCCTTCCTGGCACCGGCGGAGAATTGATCAAACCCCTTCCTGGCACAGACGAAGAACTCATCAAGCCCCTTCCTGGCACCGGCGGAGAANTGATCAAGCCACTCCCAGGGACCGGCAGTGAACTCATCAAACCTAGTCCCGGCTGCGACCTCATACAACCACAACCACTTCCAGGGACAGACGAATCAGTTCCGGGGGCAAGGAAAGTCTTGCCGCATCTTGGTGGGTATTTGTTAAAAACTCACTGTAACCAGACACAACCGGAATTGTTATTCTCAGTTTCAATTAACAATCATAATCTAGATTAGATCATAATGACCTCTGAAGAGTTATGTGTCGTCTTCATTCTTCCGATAATATTTACTGGTTCTAATTCGCAACGTAAGTTAACGGTCTCTTCACTTTATGAATTTTAACGAGAAACGCCTCTATGTTTAGTTTGCTATGCCTGCTACATGATTGTTTCGCCATGAGTTCCTCTGGTTTCAGTTCTGAGTGCTGTACTCGAGGAAGAAGTGAAAAAAGCAGAGATTTCAGTCTCCTCCGCAATCCAGAAGGTATGATTACCCACATACATTACCAATCAATCAGCAAAATGTAGTTTCAATCGCGTATTAGTCGCCACGCTAAGATGTTTGCTTGCCTACTGAACCCCAACTGATTCCTGCAAACCTCTTCAAGATAACGATATAAAATATACTTTGTATTTTTAAGCAGAAGAATCTCTTTTACAATCTGCGTCTTTTAATAACTACACACTGCTTACAAAATGGTGTGAATATTTGTCATCTGTAGCTTAGGACTTAAAATGGATATGATGGTCTTGTTTCTAGTATTTTATACATCATCAACCAATATAGTTATTACTACATGTAAGCATAAAATTTGTTAGGTGGGGAATACTTTATACCGAGCGCCATCTGTAGGTCTGCGTACAATCCACCTATAGTCCCCATTTGCAAGGGACTCTGTAAAATGTCCTTTGAAACGTTTATAACTGTTTCAGTGATACGTGCGTTGAATTTTTTCCAGCGTGCTCACGCTCTGGTTGTTAACCTGGTAGACCTTGTATCATTTCCGAAAATCAGATGCTTACAGGTACCGTTCGTAATTTGCATCTGGCATTAGGGGCTCTTCCTGATAACAGGATATCGTCACTGGTCCCTTTTCCTTCCATGTTTATGTTGAGCACTGCTTTAAAATAGACCACGACTACGACTGGTTACCCTTTCCTAATATCAGTACATGACCCTTCTGATAGTTCACATGAAGCCTTAACAACACTAACATTAGCTGCAGCGTTGTTAAAAAACAATGAAATATCATGATACAAGTTTCACAGACACGATTGCCGTAAATGTAAAGATCTAGATATTTATTGCGGAGGTATCCGTTTCGAGTACCGTTCAGATTATCGGCTATCTCAAATGAGAGAGTCAGCACAACCAAGTGCAAACTGGGATATCGGAGCACATTATGTAATTCCTTAAGCCTTCATTCTACATGACTATCTTCCCCTAACATTCCGCACTAAGTCACTTGTGAGACAGAGTTCTTTATTTAAACAATTAATTAATCACATTTTCCACAGCGACGAAATCAATTGTCAAAATATAAGTGTTATAAATAAAAGGTAAAAAGGGCAAAGCTATCCCTGTAACAGACCGTGGAGGTCCATAGGGTTGTGAGACGTCGAGGCTTCCACATCATCTAGTAAATCGGCTCACGGATGATGGTAAGGTTGTCAGCCTTACGCGCCGGTCGCACTTTAACCCCAGGAAGATTTCTGGTACTCATTTCTGTTAGAGGCTGAGTTCATCGTAGCTTCATACTGCGGCTGGAAGGATTAGGCCAATTGAAAAAAAAAATTAATCGGGGCTCGAACCCGCAACCTTCCGGCTTGTAGCATAGGGCCCCAACCAACTACGCTACCGCGCTCCCCCAAGCGCTATAAATAATATTTACAAAATACAGATTAATTTAAACCTATTTTATTCTGTTAATATACGCATATATAATGTGTTCACTTACAGGACGCAAAACTATACAGTTCGATCCCCGCGGAAGCAGACCTGGCGCTTGACAACATCTATCTCAATATTGATGACGACATATCAGTGTAAGTTTCGTTATCTGTTAATTTTCTATCGTCTTTCTTCATTAAACACATGTAATAAGAAGGGGAACTATAGACATTAAAACACAATGACTAAAATTTCAGCAATATTATGTATCGTTTCTAGGTCTCTGTCTTATAAATTTGGTGCAAATTTTCGTAAGCTACTGTTTATACAAAATGGACTGAAACATTCCCTGCATATTAACATTTTAGTTTACATGTCTACAGAACTGCATCTTCTAAGTTCCTGGTAACAATTGTGCAGTTATTAGGGACTACACGAGCAGGTACATTTCTCTAAAACAATATGCTAATTATCAGCATTATATATTGTTAGTTTAGATTGTAATATTATTAAAGACGAATTCAGGGTGAATTTATCGAAAGAGTAAAATTAATAATGCCTATGTGTAGACTGCTATGAAACTTGTCACAAGGCCGACATTTTAGAATTCCTAGAAAAACAGACAATGAACACAGGTCTCAGGGAATTCACAGCAGAAAATTAGCATAGAACCAAATCTGTAGTAATTTCCAGTTTTCACAAAGCGACTCATTAAGATGTAAATTCCTATTCTAATTGTTGACTGTTTGTAACTTTTTCTTCAAATTCTGGTGTTACAGAGAACTTACCAACCTAAAGCTTGTGAACGCACCAGTCGTTGATGTGGCATCTGCGAAACCCAACCTCGAATTCCTGAACCTGGGTCTAGACATCGAACTAGGGACTCTTCAAGTTGGAGGAAAATTCGAAATTATCAGCAAGAACGTCTTGGCTGAAATTCCGGTCACCAGCTCCGGCGACTTCATGTAAATTATTATTATTGTTTGCACGTAAATAAACATGAATTGAATTATTATTATTGTATTAAACGCTATAACTTCACGCACAAAATAGGAAATGTAAATTGAATTCAGATACTGTATAGCTTATTATTACGTGAGATTTTTAATTTTTATGAAGCAATTTTCAATATTAATTGCAATCAGAATGATTCCACGTTTATGGAAAGTTCAGAATTACATCAAATATTGGCTTTAATCTGGAAATTTTATTTGACTGGACAAAGAACAGATAACTGTACGTTAAAATATAACTAATTTAAAACATCTTAACTGAAAGTTGCGAATATAGCTAAATGGTTTATTTTTACTTTTATTGTAAGCATGAAGTAACTTCTTCTCTACACGTGTTGCAACTGAAGACTTATTTTAGTGATTACAATAAATTTAAGCACAGAACAGTATAATCATTTAGCTGCAGCAAGTGTATCATTCGCGGATGTGCAAATGATGCAATTAAATTCTTTATAATATTTCCAAGAACTGAAACGACATAGTTAAAGCATACATTTATGCTTCCCCTGCTTCTAAATATAAAACTAAATGCTTTCCATATCCATATTTTTGCTAATTTTGAAAACACAAACCAATAAGTTGTGTGGAAACTCCTTGCGATATACGAGTAATCTTTCGTTTTCAGTCTGAGAAATGCTGACGTCAAGGCTACTGGGAAAGTGGGTCTCTCACTTGAGGGAGATTCCTTCAAGACCATCAACTACGATGTCCTGTATAAACCAATTGGATCATACCTTTCGGTTAGTGAATTTTCAACTCATTTAACCAAAATATATTATCTATTTTATTGTTAATTTCATTACTGCATAATTCTTTTTGTCCTTCTTTATATGCATGTATTTCTATTCACCAAATATCAACTATAATATTTAAGTCACTCATATTTTCAATAATCTTCAATCACATTATGTTCTGTTTTCAGGTTAGTTACGAAAGCGACAACAAGCGCGTCGTTAGTGGCTTTGCTGTAGGGAAGAATGGTAAGGTGTTCCATGTATTTCACATTGTCTGTAATGACACACAGTACCACTTGCTCCACTATATTCTCTCAAATCCATACTATTCATGTTCTACAGCGCAAAGAATGCTGGGTGCTCCTCAACACTTAACACTAGTATCGCAACACAAATACATGACCCGTGCTCTCTCATCCTGGAGGGTGGTTCTTTCTTTCTTCAATATGACAAACAAATATCAGTAAACAAAAATATATCAAGTGACATCGCTTAAATAAAGCAACGGCTCTGTTCGCCGTTAAGCACAAAACTTACCGTCTAAACAAAATGAATCTATCACTTAAGTCGCAGAAAAACTCTACAACAAAACCTCATGCAGAACAACAGATTTAAACAACTTCCAAGTAGCAGTTTATTTATAAGGATTTAACTTATTGCAAGTCAAAACGGGTACAGTGTTACACCTAATAAAAAAGAATATCTCACTGATTCCTGATTGTGAACTGCCAACAAAAGTAAATAGGCTATATATTACTTTCACTAACTATAAAGTCATTCTCGTGAATTCTACCAATACATACACGTGTATGCAGCACATGAGCCTAGACATAAGCTTCATAAGGGTGCTATAGAATTATATCCGTGAATCCTACCAACACATATGCAGCGCATGGGCCAACACATAAGAGTGTAATGTGATCGGTATTTCAGAGGCTAAGGTCGTCGACCGCATTAATCGTGAGCTGAAGAACCTGCTTAATCGTCTCGTGAAGAAGCGACTCGACGACATCCTGCAGACAATGCCAGTGACTGAACTGATCCGTGAAACCAGAACTGCAAGCTCCTACAGGTAACCTTCACTTCCCCCCACTTTGACGGCTTCAACAAAACAATAACGAAACGAATGGTTTAATGGCGTCACAGCGGTGGTTATGAAGAATTCTATTTTCTGGGGTATAGCGCCGTGTTGACTTTCAAAGGATTACACAGTGTTATATTCCAGATAAGCCAACAAATAGGGCACAACTATTTTACAATTTCAAAGTTTCTAATCTCAAAACTTGACCTTAAACAGCGATGAAGTTACATAAACTCAGTTTTAAGTCTTCTGCTTCTCTCTGGTGTATCATGTCCACTTCCTGAGAGGGAAACCACATTATTAAACATTTTACATATATATATGAAACAGTGTTGGGGTTTAAACTCTCGACCTTCCAGCAGATTCAGGTTTTCAGCGAGGCTTGTCGATTTAACATTAATTTTACCCTTATCATCTAATCGGTGTGATAATATTGTCACGTGTATTAGTGACTATAGACGGGGTTTGGATTGCTGAATAGATTTATTGACCACTTGCAAGTCGTAACTACGAATAATTATTACAATACTACCGAGTTCCACACTATAAATCACTCAACACTAAGTTTTATCAGTATATTTCCACTAGTCTTTACTTGGTACAACGGCTATTCCTCCGCAGTGTCTTCACTAGACTTTCAGGTAACAAATCTCAGCAATGGAGGTTCTTCAGCTTCCGTTGTCTGGTGGTTAACAGTCCACAGCTGTACCCTCAGCTCAACTCTCAATTACTGCTTGCTTCTTCTTATATAGACTCGGGTCGAACCTCACGGAAAAAAAAAAAAACGTCAGTTACCCATCAATTGATATATGCGAACCACATTGAAAATACAGCTTCCTCTATTGTTATATTTACAGCGCTGCTGCATAGAAACGGAAGTTATCTGATTTTTGTTGTCGAGGGAATATGTTTATCGAACCGCTGCTTAGCAATGGGTCTACATGTCACAACATGAAATTCCTCTCACATACAGTAATTCACCCTAAACTTTTATCAAGATTATGACAATCTATTAACATTGCCCAAATAATTTTCGCGGAAATTCGCATCCAATTTAGGACAAAATTTGACTTTCTCTATAACAATGGGCCATTGTATGATTTATCTTACTTTCTTGTCTTCTTTCCAGGCAACACGTAAGAGCTCTTAGAGCTCTGGTAAATGATTACGTGGATGAACTTCTGCAAAGTGCGCAACTTTTTGTAGACAATAACAACCTGAACGAAATTTCTACTCCTGATATAGAAGCAGGTTTCTCAAAGGAGGTAAGTTACTTTTTTCACTGAATCGGTCAAATAATAGATATCGCTTACTGAAGAGTGTACAGCAGATCCATGCCTACGTATTGACAATTCCAGATCTTGTGGATCACGTGGCGCGGGCGTTTCGCAGCAAATGACGGTCGAGCCAGAGACTTGGCTTCCCTCACAAGGACAGGAGACCTTAGTCTGGATTATGACAAAGACAGAGGAGCCGTCACAGTGTTCGGAAGTGTGGGACTGTCCCAGCTGGGTGTAAGTTGATATCTGGCCAGCCTATGTTCTGTTCCCAGAAGTGAATCTCGGCTTGTAGTACCACCAAGTCTGTGGCTACGTCTTGTTGTGAAGGTGCATAGGACACACAAATTGCCTATACGAACTATAACTTTCTTAAATAAAAAATATAATATTTTAATATACTGAAGGAAGTAGACATTACTTACTTACTCATGGAGCTGAGCCTTTCTTCAGAATCCGCCAATTGTGCAGCTACTCCAGAACGTCCCAGCATTCAATGGAACCCGAAGGCTCATTACCGTGTTCACAAGAGCCCTACACTGGTCTCTATTCTCAGCCACAACAATTCAATCCATACCATCCCATCCTATCTCTCTAAGATCCATTTTAAAATTGTGCACCCACCTATGCCTTGGTGTTCCCAGTGGTCTCCTTCCTTCTGGCTTTCCCACCAATATCCTATATACATTCCTTGACTCCCCCATTCGTGCTACATGCCCTGCACACCTCATCCTCCTTGACTTGATCATTCTAATTATACTCGGAGAAGAGTACAAATTATGAAGCTCCTCATTAGAGACACGAAATTTCATGAGATGAATAAATAAACAGAATTAGTTTACAACACAAAAGATGTCCAAAATAGTTAGGACCATTACAAATATGAAAAAGTGAAGCTCAAGAAATCGCTGCTATGGCACAGATGTCTCATATCTAAAAAAAATAGTATCCATAAACTCAGAGGATATCTTTTCTACCCACTACTGTATATTGTTATGACATTTAGTCTCTTACCCCAGAGATAAGTAATATCACTGTGGTTACCATGAGTAGACACGAGGAGGTAGGAGAAACAGGAATTCATTCGGCATATGGTCTGAAAGGATCTTGGAGGGGGGGGGGGCTACTTGGATGACCTAGGCACAGATGGAAGGAGAACATCAGCAGAACATATTGTAATGGATTTGGTCAAAACGTTTCTAGTTAACGGCTGGGTAAACACGTTCTAAAGTGAAACGATGGAACATGTGTCTCAGTGGACGAATGTTATAGCTAGTTGGTAGGAAACAGCACGCGTGCCAATGAACTCGCTGGCTAGGAATCACGTGACTTGTTATCTGTGTTTCCCGTGCGAAGCCTATATAAAGAAGATCTGTTGTAGCTTAGATTAGTGCGGAGCGCAGTGCGGTCCAGGTTAGTTAATACTGAGAATCCTAGTGCGTGTGCAGCGGAGGCCGTGTAAATTAGCGACAGCACTGTATTGATTGTAATTAAGAGAGATTGTAAACCAAGTGTCAATAAATACAATCAGCGGAAGTAGAACCCGTTATTTTCGTCAAGCGTACCCCACCTACACGTGACAATATCTTTATAGAGCACAAACCAATAATAATTCAACCGAACCCTAAGGGGTATCTAGTTTTGTATTGCTACCTAAAGACATCACTAACCATTTCATTACTTGCAGGTTCGATACAGTTATCTAGCGCAATTCCAGGGCCTTGGGCCATCTGGCTCCGTAGGGGCACAGGTCGGCCAGAACTCCATCTTCTTTAAAGTAGACCTCGTCTTGGCTGTCGAGCCTGTTATAGACCTCCAGGATTTCCACATCGAGTATGCCAAGTAAGTACGTTACTGACTTACAAGAATGCTCTAAGTCTCCATATTGTTATCACAAAAGGTAAATGCAAAGATATTCCTGTAACAGGCCGTGGAGGCCCACAGGGTTGTGAGACGTCGAGATTTCCACATTTTCTAGACAACAGGATTACAGATGGCGGTAAGGTTATCAGCCTTACGCGCCGGCCGCCCTTTAACCCCACGAAGATTCCTGGTACTCATTTCTGCCAGAGGCTGAGTCGACCCCAGGGCCATAGTGTGGCTGGAAGGATTCGGTTAATTGAAAGGAACCACCTTATCGGCATCATACGTAAATTTAAAGTATCTTAGGGTTTGGTATAATGTTAAGGATTACGATACCTCATTTTAAAATTATGAATGATACATAACGATAGTTGCATGACGTACGGGTAAGTACTTATATAACGATCGTTTAGAATTTTACACAAATGTTGATAATTAAGTACACTGATTCAATCGAAAATCTGAACGAACAATTACCAATGTGCGTTTATTCTGTGTTTGTGTTGCTCCGTGTGTAGGCAGCGGCGTTGCGATGGGTTGTTCTCCCGTCTAGGGAGTCCTACCGATTGTTTATAGGATCAATAAACTGAAAAATCAGCAAAGGCCCAATAAAGGGAAGCAGAACCATAATAATAATAGTCTAGAAATCTTCAGTAACTAATCTGTTAGAACCGAGTAGAAGTCTCACACGTAATCCGCCAGGAATATACCACGTATGTGAACCTACGCACATCAAATTAATAGAGGCACCGTTAGAATAATCCCAAGACATGAAATCAGTAATAAGCATATTATAAGCACGTTCAAATATACAGCATAATGTTACCACAAAATTTAGAATTTTAGTAAAACCTACGATTTACGAGTCGAACCTATGCTTTATATAATTCGGGTTTTTACAATAATATGTTCTCTCTCAACAGGGACATCAAAATTGAAGTGTCAGGGCTTGGTATCCTTGACTGGCTGGTATCCAACATTGCAACTTGGATTGTTGGCGTGTTCAACGATGAAATAGTAGGCACTGTGGACGGACTCCTTCGAGAATACGTGGAAGGAATCCTGCCATCCGTGGACCCCAATAAATACTTCGGATAGGTAACTGAGCAAAGGGAAAAGACTGCAGTAGTATAAAGTAGTGTGTATTGTTATGATTATCTTGTCTTAAAAGTCACTGTACTATTAAAGTGGAAAATAAAAATGTAGATTCAGCAATTGAACTTGTGTGATATTTATTTCAGAAAGAAGTTACGTACGTGTTCACCGTAACATATGAATGTGATAGAGGGACCTGAATAAAGTGAAACAAACAACTAATCCTCTAGACGTTCAACACAATTAAAAGCAATCTCACAACAGGATATGATCCTGATCCAGTTGTGTCCTATCCTAAAAATATATTTCACGATAACCAGAACTGTAGCCTGGTTTCAAGAAAATATTGGGTGGCTTTTATTTTATTTGTGGGAAGAACTGAAGTGCAATACTCAACCGCATTTCAGTGGCTGAAAATTAACTAAATAATGAGCAGTAAAATACCTGTATGTAGTCTGCCACATAGTCTTGTATTTAAAGAGCACTATCATATGCGATGTAGTGCCATGTAGTCTTACAGAATTCCGCTCATGTTTCGGAGAAATTTTATGCCTCTATCTTCATCATCAAAGTGTAAGCCAAGCATGAAATCAACAAATACTAAGCGACAAACAGTGCTTGATTTTGTGTTAAAATCCTTTCTAGTGTACAGAGTGTCAATGTTGAATAAAAGTGACCGTTTCAGAGACCACCTCTGTCTCCATCAATAGGGTAGATGTGGTGAATGACCGTATGTCGCTGATTCTTATAGCAGTTTGTCAAATCGATGCACCTTCCTATAGGTGTTCTCTGCGGTAAGACGACTGAGCCAGACTGTGTGGTCACCCATCCGACTCTACCCCTCACCATGTTGCTTAACCTAGTGTCCTGTTGTCATATTGTTTTCTTTTCTTTTCTGCATGCTCGTCTCTGTGTCTACTTGGGATTTCTGTGCTATATGGACTCCAGTTTAGAAAACCGGAATTAACGGCCGTGGGGATTCGTTGCTCTAACTACATAACACCCTATATCCGCAAAAGTTGGCACTAGCTTCGCCGATAAACGGCGGTCGCTTGGTCGGTATAGTTCGCTTGCGGACTATATGCCACGGAGTTTGTTTGTTGTGTGTTGGAGCGCCTTAATAAGCTGGCGCTGAGACCCCACGCTTTACTGACCTTGAACCCTCCCTCTCTTTCTAGGCCTGTATTGTCCGAATGCAATTTTATGTCTGTCGCTTCTCTGACAAATCGGTTCATACAGCTCGATGTTTTGGCTAGTGCTTTGGTCTCACGGAACCTGATACGGTGGCCTCATTCAATGCTGTGTTCAACTACTGCAGACTTGGTCGCTTAATACTCATGCAAACGCAGATGCTGTGCATGTTCTTTGCGCCTTGTTTCACTGGATCAACCCGCCTGTACTATATACACTTTTTCATATTCACACATAATATTACAAACCCCCGAGACTTTCAGTCCTAAATCATCTTCTGCTAATCTCAGTACGTGGAAACTCTCCTTAGCAGGGATGTGCACTGTATTTATATTAAATTTTCCCAGTAACCTGCATATCTTGTACCACATATGGAATCAGCACCAGTTTATTAAGGCAATCCAACACACATAGATCACGAAAATCCCAAGCAGACACAGAGAAGGGCATGCAGAAAAGAAAAGAAAACAATATGACAACAGGACACTAGGTTAAGCAACATGGTGAGGGGTTAGAGTCGGATGGGTGACCACACAGTCTGGCTCAGTCATCTTACCGCAGAGCACACCTATAGGAAGGTGCATCGATTTGTCAAACTGGTATAAATATCAGCGACATACGGTCATTCACCACATCTACCCTGATGATGGAGACAGAGGAGATCTCTGAAACGGTCGCTTTTATTCAACATTGACACTCTGATCGCCCGTGAAAATTTTAACACATTTATTCGGGGTGAAATCTTACATAGGGCTTAGTTTACTATTCAATCCTGAAGATATGAGCAATTTCTTCTTTCGTAACGTTGATGACCTTCCGAAGTAAACGGAAATACATTCCAGAAAATAGCATATATCACTCTGAGAATCTCAAATCTAGCAAGTCTTCTATTTAGGGTTATTGCTAGTGGGGTGGGACTAAGTCCCTTGTACTGCGGCCACTTCTGGCCTATTGTACTATCTATTTAGGGTTACGCTGTAGGAACCACTGCCTGGAAAAATGAAATTCGTTGCAGAGAGATCACACCGGGCCTGAAGAACCAGATGATTCCCTTTCGACGATTTATGAGAAAAGCTGAGTGCATTTGAAAGCTTCTTAATGACTTTGTATCAGTAAGTAAAAAGACAATAATAATTTCGCTGAGCACAGCCCTCCTTTATAAGCTAACAATTGTCCAGCTATTCAGTAACTCTTTACCTACACGGAATCCACAAGTTCATTACTGTGTCCGCAGGGCGCGCCACTAGGCCCTGCCATAAGAAACCTGAAACCAGTTCACACCCTCACACCCTATCAGTGTTTCTCAACCGCCGGGCCGCGGCCCGGCAACGGACCCTCGTCTTATAGAAAAAAGAACTCACCGGGCCACGGTCTGACAAAGGTTGAGAACCACTGCTCTGTATCCTTAAGATTAATGTTATTAGTTTCAAATCATGTACGCCTTAAGAATATTTGACAAGAATTTCTCAAAATCATTTTCCCTGGTTCGTACATTAGTAATATTTGTACTGTTACGTAACATTCGCTGCTCATAAAGTGAATAAACTTATTAAATCGTTAGAACCGTATCTGTGAGCCTTCTTGCGAGGAATTTTATCATCCTAGAACCAACTGAAAGAGTCTCAACTTGAGGTTCTCACAGAAGCGGTGGTCTTCTGGATTTTAACGTCATGTAGATCGAAACTACACGGCGTTACAATCCAAAAGAGCGTATCTTTTAACTGAAATATTGTTTTAATTGCTTCTGTCCGAATTTCGAAAGAGCCAAAACTCGAAACTGACAACATATTTTATGGTATGGTTTTCACGGCGGTGACAATGAAGAATGCCTTATTATGGGATGTGGCGCCGTGTAGATCTTGTGTGAACCGACGTTTCGGAGGAATGTATCGCCTACAACTTCATGGTAACGTGAGCAGGTGGCTGCGGACTCTCGGCAACCATTTGCTCACATCCACCACCTGTCTCTCTCGACGACGATAACAATTTAGCCTTCTGATTTTAACTGAAAACTATCCTCCAGGCCTCAGTCGGTAACACAACTTACTGTAGCAACGGCGCCACACATACGCCTCATGATATCGTGTAGATTGTCAACAACTTCATTGATAAGATACAAGACCACTTGACATAGTTGAGTTAAAATAGCTCAGTCCGTATAGCAACGGACTCCGGACACCTCAGGTTCGTTTCCCGGCAGGAAATCTGCTCTACTTTCCATAGCTACCAAATATTACATTTGAATTCATTTACACAAAACAACTTGCCTCCACAATCTTACAGTAGTGTTGTTCCCTCCAGTGTCCTAAGCTTACGTAAGAGGGGAATATGTTCGCTGCGTTGCCTAAAAGCCAATGTCCGTCCGATAATTTGAGAACTTCTAACACTAGCAAAATGTGAACGTGATTCTGACATCGGGGTATAAGTAGTCTATATCACGCTCCGACTTACTTTACCTATGGAAAAAATCTACGATAATTATTACATGATTATCATAGGCAGCTCCAGGAACATTTTGGCTTAATTAAGATTCATCCTGCCTATATACAGAATAGCTCAGTTTGTATAGTGACGGTTATGAGTTGGATGTCCGGGCCCCGATTCCCGGAAGGGGAAAGAATTTTCTACCATACAGCGTCAACATGTGTCTCGAGGCCCACCCAGCTTCCTATAAAATAGGTACCAGAGGTTATTCCCTGGGGTAAAGCAGGCGAGGCATGATGCTGAACATTGACCTTAGTGCCGAAGTCAAGAATGGTGGAGCTAAACCTCCACTTATCCACATGTCTCCATGGCGTAATGCTTAATTAATTACACACAGGAACAACTTTTATCTTATCCGTGTAACAGGCCCTGGAGGTCAACAGGGTTGTGAGGCGTTGAGGCTCTCATATTTTTCACATAATACATTCAGAGGTAAAGGTCAGGTTTCAGTATTACGCGCCGGAAGCCATTTACGCCAATGTATATTCCTAATATTCACATTTTTGAGAGAGTGAGTCAACCCCGGGACCATAGCGCGGCTGGAAGTATTAGGCCAATTGCAAAATCCAATGACCTCATCGGGACTTGAACCAGCGATTTTCCTGCTTGCAGCATAGTGCCTCAACCAACTACGCTACCGCGTGCCTCCATATTTACCTTATACGGCATAAAACTAAACACATCCAGATTCAAAACCCGTAGTTTGGGTGTTTCAGTGAATTTATTTGATGAAAACATCAATAGAATGGGCTTTCTCTCAGCGTTCCTTGACATCACTTCCTCCCATATCTCCCACTTTCAATACGGTCAACGTACGAACAACAAATTATCACTATTTCAGAAACACTTAGGCACTGATTCTCAAATATAATGACACTTCATTAAAATAAAAAACTCCATGGCCCGTAGTCCGCAAGCGAAATATACCGACCGAGAGACCGCCGCTTGTCGGCGAAGTTAGTGCTAACTTTTGCGGATAGAGGGTGTCGCGTGGTCAGCGCAACGAATCCCCACGGCTATTAATATGGGTTTTCCAGACCAGAGCAGATATTTCCTTAAAATAGCTCCTCAATTATCTTCACGAGGCTGAGCGGACCCCATTCTCAGAAAATCTGGTAGAGCCCGGATTCGAACCCGGGCCTCTGGATCTGTAGCCTGAAACTCTGACTACTAGACCACAAAGGCGGTCAATGACATTTCATTACAGAAAATATATGCCTGCAGATCTAGACGTGTGTCAGGCAATTGTCCTGCTTCATGGCCTAATGAACAATTATCTGGTATTCCCGCATTTCCTAAACAAGAATTGCTCAAATTTCATATCATGTTAAGAATGTGGCCTAATCCATTTATAACTATTTCTATTCTGTTTAATGACTTTATAACTCACACTGTAGGCATGTAGCTGGATAAAACATGAACTGGGAATTATGTACCAGGAAGTGGTCGT